TATCATACCCGTTTGATTACAAAAATTGGATTAGAAATGGGATTATAACCCTTGGAGACTTATTCTACGTTGAAAATTCACAACTGGCATTACGAATAGGCAACAATACTTCTAGTAATATACATGGAATTCAAAACAGATTAGAAATATTTAAAAGAGATATCATAGCTAACATTAATACATGGCCCCATCTATCAAACTCTCAAATCAACCAAGCATATGATCTTTTTTCTGAAAATAATTGGAATATAAAACCCAAAACTAAGTTTCTTTAGTTAAGATTAATATCTCCTGATGTGGAATCAAAAAAGGTAGTCCTTAATCAAAGATTTATTAATAATTTTGGAATTGAATACTCAAAAGTATCCTGGAATAAAATTAGATATTACGATTTACCAAGAAAAACCCAAGACTTTTGTTGGAAAGCGGCAAATTTAGCTTTACCAGTAGGTAATTTTTAAATCAGTGGTTCAGTGATGAGGGTGGGGGTTGTGTTTTTGTGTGATGGAAATATGTGCGAAACAGTATATCATTTATTATGTGAATGTCCCTTTACAAAATGTTTTTGGAATTGGTGCCAACTTGACCGAACTGACACAAAATCTATACTTCTTTTAGACAATATTGACAACGAATACTGTATATTTTTAATTGGAATCGGTAAATATTGCATCTGGCTACATCGTAATAGTGTAAAGTATGATAGTTTGGAAAAAAATCAAATTAATTTGAGAATACAGTATAAAAGCATGATCCAAGGTCAAATTAATTGTTTTCAATCATACAAAAAAGAGAGATACATGCAAAGTATTGTTAGAACATTGCTTGAGAAATCTGTTTCAACTTGACTAAATTACCTCAACTATTTATAACTGTATTTAATAGTACTAATATTTATTACTTATCGATCTTAAGATTTTCTTAAGTTGAATCTGCTCCAAATTTTGCATGTGCATGCATCATATCTCGGACCAGAAGCCTATTGATTTTGGGTTAATTATGTCATATAATTAGCGAGTTATTAATTATTTTTTTTGGTCGATCGATAAGTCTTCGGTCTCCGACCGATATTCTTGTTTTAAAATTGAAAAGTTTCATCCATTTAAACTTTCATGTTGGGTGGGTTGAATATCACCCCCTTCAACTGATCAAACATGATCGATAACCTATCTAATTAATGTAAATGTTTTTCTATTTCCATGCATACCGTATTATAAAATTAATTATGTAATTACTTAAATGTGCTGAACGAATGGAATGTAATGGATTATTTGACTGGTGGATACATTGGATTACTTCAATGGAATAAATACATCTATGGACCTTGAATCAACATTGTTATATTGTTATGAATCAAATGTGACAAAAATAACTTCCTTCTTTTATATGTAATTTTTAACATAAAACATATGGGGGGTGAAAAATATGAATAATTAAAATTCGGCCAAAATGTGGAAAATAAAATCTTGGTGACTTCATGCAAATAAATTGAAATCACGTATTTGGATAACCAAAAAAAAAAAAAAAAAAAAAAAGAGATCAGAGATCGTTTTGTTCAGTGCGATCATAGTCTGCTCCGAATTGACCCGCTTAAAATAAGCAACAAAGCCGACATATTTTTAATCTAACTCCATTCAATCCTTTCCCTAAATTTTCTAGATTTAATGGGTGTTCATGATTTGAAAAATGTTCCGAATAGAAATATTAGATTAACTATATATTGATGACGCTGTTGTTCACAGGGGAATCCCCCATTCAAATCCAACATTCATCAAACGTCGACCAGCCGTTACGTGAACCACCAGTCTAGCATTCTTTTCCCACATAATCAATGCGGCATGAGATTCGAACATAACGAGATCAGAGCCCATATATACCTAAGTGTGCGCAACAATGGAAAATGGCCGCCATTTTCGATTAACGTCGCCTGCGAGGTTACGATGGTTCTGCGTGATCCTCGGCTAGGCTGGTAACTTCCGCTATAAAATTATAGGCTGCTCGGCGTCTAATTGCAGCGGGAATAGCAAACAGTGCAACTCTTGGAGCTATCAGCAGATGCCGAGTGAAAGAACGAATGGGAAAATAATTGTAGAGGCTGGAAATCCGGCCCTGGCATTTCGTTGTGTGAGGTTAGTCAAACGAATGGCCTAATGTCAAACTGACATCAGGAAAGACAGGCTAGTAATCTGCAGAATGTACAGAGTTTTAGGATGATGTCACATTTAATTATTTATATGACGTGGCCCATCCGACTCATTAAAGTTAGCCCAGAAAAGTTACCGATATCTAAAGTTAAGTTGAACTACAACGATTTTCTAAACGCTGGCTTCGGGTGTCAGATTAGAAAAACTGTATTTAAATCATCCTAAGTAATGCAAAGTCAGAAATCAGTGCATTGAATGTATAAGATTCACTGTCATGATTGCTTGGAGTCCTGCGGTCACAACAATTCATAGTAGCCTAATTGACAGCAATATGAATAAACAATTCGGAGCTCAGTGGAAATAATGTTTTATCTTTTGAATTCTGATCTTCTGAACTGAATGCGTGTTTAGTTAAGTCACTGTCAATTTGAACGCTTGCTATTTCAAAAATACGTTCGTTTTATAACCTACAACTCATTACATTTTCAGACTCATTTTTGGAAAATATCAATTTGAACAGAAGAGGACGGATAAATGGGAAATATTGAAATGGGATATAGACAATATCGATGAGCCAAATTCATCAAAAAATTCAAATCATTAAAACCTGA